GCCTCCCCACCGAACGTGACAAATAACAATAAAGAATTTAATTAATGTTTTTTTCATTCAGTATGGAAGTCCTTGACTGTTGTCAAAGATTCGACCTTCGTGTATGGATCCTGGCCATCTTGCAACAATGTTTGTGATCTGGGCCTGATCATCACACACAACTTGAACATTAACTGAGCAGTAGCCCTTTCAATTACGGAAAAATTCCCATTCTCACCACCTGAGTTAGTTATTAAAATGTGAGTGCAGTCAATAGCTCCAATTACTCCAGGAAAACCTGCTCTCCTGTAAAATCCAGCTGTAATCTCCCTTCTTGCTTCAAAATGAATGTACTGATTTTTTAAACATGCAATTGCCTTTGACACTCTGCTGACAATTCTGCAGACTGTGGACTTGTGAATTTCAAAAAGATCCCCAGCAACCATCTGAAAACTTCCTGTAGCGTAAAAACGTAAAGCTACTATAGGAGCTGGAGAAGTGGAGGTACAGCAGAATTCCTCTCACTTCCATGCTTGATAGCTGGTCCAATCTTGTCATTGATGTATATGACAGACTCTTTCGTAAATTTATACCACTGGCAAAACTCACTATTGCTATAAAATTCAATTGGGTTTAACCTGTCTTGAATTTTCCTATGAAGAACTCATTCCTCTACTCCCATCCAGCACAGAAATGCAGCCATGTTCTCAATAAAACAAATCTAACATAAACCTCCTCAAGGGGTGGTTTAAATATAACTGCCAATCCAGTTTTGTACTAGGCTTAAATTCACTGGTGCAACAAACTTAAATTTAATATAAGTTTAAGTGGAAATTAAACTGAGATTACCAAAGGTTTAGATTTAACCACGATTAATTGTAAACTAAATTTAAACTAGGTTTAAAGTTTGGTGCAACAGGATTAGTAGATAAATCTTAATTTGATCCATTTTAAAAGTTAAACCATGTTGGTGCAACCTAGAAATAGAATTAGAACTGTTCAGTTGCATGTTCTATCTATGTAAGTTGCTAAATGTTGTTAGCATCTGTGTTTTTGGGAAATGTACCCCAGGCCACAGGTTAGCAGAGGAATAGCAAACAACATTACAAAGTCTGTGATACTGATATTGACAAGAGGCTAATGTACTAACTGTGGCCTGCTTTTGATACTGAAGTTTAAAAAATGTTCTTGTAATGTTGTGCCTATTGTGAAGTGGGAGTTTCTCCAGACACGTCCTCCTTTTGGGCAACTGTCCGGGCGTCCAGGTGGTTTTTCAAAAATTTAGTACTGAAACTACCCATATCACCCAGTGTTGCAATTTACAGTGGAATATCAAATGAAGCAAAAGACACCAATTTCTATATTTGGCAGAAACTCAGCATCATCACACAGCGTTTGCAAGGTTTGTGCACGTTTACTTTAAAAATTAAATGATATGTACTTTCCTACGTGACTCGCTGCTTACGACTGACGTCAACTTCTGGAAACCATTGGCACTTGACGCTTTATTTTTGTTTTCGTGTGAACAGTGAATCGTATTGTTTGCTTGAAGTTTAACAAACTTTAGTTTAGCGTTTTGTAACTATTGTTGAAAAAGACTTGTATACATATTGTGTCTTGTGTAGATTGTACAACGAGAGGAAGTAAGGTTACTGTTATATATGGGAATTGTAGTTTTAATCGTTTAGAGACGTTTAGATTCCAGGATATAATGACTACATTTCCCGAGACCGATTTACTGTGGGCGTTTCCATAACAAGATTATTTGGCAAGCATAGAAATCAAAAGTGGTTTCCGTATCGGGATAGGTAGGTGAGTTTGTTTTTTGTTTTGTTTTAATTAAAGCAGCTTTTATATATGTAGTAGTCTATGCTTATCCGACGTACTTAAGGTCTACTTCGTGGGTACCAATCTATATTGCTGAAATCCATGTCAGTGTGGTGTTTCCGCTACTAGTTTCTCAGTACTGAAAGAATGAACTCAACACGGTTTCGTGCAGGTTTGAAGCCTAGCCGTTTGAGTTATAATTTACATTCTTCCTCTCGTTCGAGGATGTACCGCTTAAATATTAAATAGTTCATAAAAATCTATGTTTACTTCGCGCTGTAGTGTAATTCTGATAAATTGCTTAATAATTAAACATAATTCTGATATTCGTAGTAACACAGGCTGTTATAGTAATAGCTAGGGTTAATCGCAGGTGAAGAAGTTAACATGTTACAGATTGGTGAATAGTAACTAAACAAACTGATGATTTATTTGTGTTGTGGCATACATAAGATATTGCGTGGAGAAGGAAAACTGCACGAAAAGGTCCGGATTCATTAAATAACACCACAACATACAAAACATCAGGTGTCTAAGATCTCTTATTTCTTTAGATCCACAGGTAGTATTACACATTTTACTTTAGAATTGCACGTGTAAAACACCTGCGATGAGTTACTAGTTGACTCAAGTTGATTACCAGAGATACAACATAATTTCAGATACAATTGCTAGTAGTTACACCTAATTTGTTTTGAATGATTGTTCAACATGCACGCATCATATATTAAAAAAATAAATAAAGGTACAGTTTGCATGGTTCGTTAAGATTCTTAAGTCTACTTAAATGGTTATGTCTCAGAAGTATTTGATGTGATTATAGACACATGAATAAATGATTCTAAAAGATGTTTCCCTTTTGAGTGTTGAGTTCATCTGTGAGATGGCAGTGATTAATGGCAGTGCGTGGTGGCTGTCTATCATTGCATCTTCATTTTGCCTGTTGTAGCTAAAAAGCATGTAGACAAGAATAGCTGTAATGGTTTATCAGAGCAACAGTGAATCACTGTTAAATGTCAATTATGCAGTTCCATAGTAATGACTTTATGAATCACATTTAACTGAATTGAGGTTATATTGTCTTTAAACTTTATATAACTGAAAACAGCATTGCTGTACAGATGGTAAGTATATGTAAAGTATTTATATAAAACAGTTTGGCTACCATACAGCTTATTTAAAGTCTACCAACATCCAAATTTCTATCAATTGTTCTTAAAATGGACCTTGAGGAAGAAATGATTAAATGCTGTTACACCAACCATAGAACACCTCATGTGTACAGTGTTCAGTCCCCTGCTTAGGGGCCCGGAAGAGAATTTTCCTTTAAAAGCGATTAATGTTTCTGTTAAGTTTCCTCCCTTTAAATGCATTGTTTGTCAGATGCATAGGGCATGGTAACAGAAGGTGTGTTTTAAAATTACTATATTCGGATTTTCATTCCAGACAGGAGAATGGTCACAAGAAAGTGGCATAAGTACTAAATTACAAGGCAAAAACACCAAACCTGACAAATTAAACTTTATAAACAACTGATATCTATCATACTTTATCTTTTTAAGATTGTCTTATGAATAACAGTTGTTGTGATGTGATTGCTCTCATTTTACACAGCGTCACATTGTCTTTGTAGAAATTATTTTATAGTTACTAATATTTAATTGTTTTATGGTTAATTGTTGTATCATTTTGGGGAGTAGGGGCAGAAGGGCCCTATGCAAAGTGTAGCTTAGGGGCCCCTGAACATGTTAATCCACCACTGGTTTTTAGAAACACCATGTTACACTTGGTACCATGACAGTTGAGGATTCCTTTGCACATTTTTCATTTTTGCTTTGTAGCACTTGTGTGAGACGGAGACATGGTGAAGTGCTTCTTAATCCACACCTTGTGCCCTGTAAGCACACTGTCTGCCAAAGAGAGCAGAATCCTCTACTGTCGTGTTTTTGAGCCAATGGACCAGTTATCGGGAATGAACACAGACATAATTCCAGAAGAGAAACGCCTATTAGAAAAAGAGAAGTTGGCTACAATAGCAAGGTAAGTGCTGGTTAAGCCAAACTGGTGTGTTGAATCCTTCTGAAGTGTGGAGTCCACTGTGAAAAGGCATAGATCTTGCAATATTGAGTAGATGCATTCTAAAAGTAAATGTTCTTAGGTCCCCATCATCATTAGAACATGCCAGGTTTGGTCATGTGACTGAACTAAAGTACTGCATTGAGACTAGCAGAGAGAATTGAACTCATGTCCATCCCTTTCACCCAGGCAGGTACAGAGCACATGTAGCCTCTGGAGGGAGGCAAGGGGACAGCCCTCTGTAGAGCCGGTGCTGGGAGAAGAGGCTAGGGCGCTTGAGGAAGCAGACAGCGGGATGCTGCGCCTGCCAGTAGGGGATCCCTTTCCAGAGGAGCATTTCTTGCTGTGGTTGGGCGTCCATGCACTGGGCTTCTCTATGGTATGCCAAGCTGATGACAACCTGCTGCTGGCAGAGGGGACCTTACGGAGCCTGGCCTCCCATTGTCTGGAGAGTCTACGCCTTTTGGCGCCAGGCAGTGAGGTAGGTTTGAAAAGAAGGGGGGGGGGTTTAGAAAAACAGGGAGATGGGGAAAAAGAAGGAGGAAATGTGTTGGAAAGGAGGTAGTGACAAGCAATGAAATCTGACAGATACACAACTAATTATACAGTCCCGACAGGATTTCTGTGTTGCCAAAAACCCTTGATTTTGCAGCAGCTTTTCTCAATTTGTGAGTTTTTTTATGGAAAATTTGCATAAATCTACAAAATTGCAAGTTCAGGAAATTAGAAAATACTTCTTTTTGGTTCCAGTTAATTCTTAGTAAAAAGTCTTCGTAAAATAAAGTTGGTTTAACATTAGCAGCAAGACACGAGTAACCTGTTATGTTGTCTATGGTACAGGTTCTTGTGTTACTTTGTGCACACAGCTGCACGTCTGGTCTTCTGCCTGCTCTCACCTGGTCACTGTATTTTTCCGTGAGCCATGGGTCTGTGTCTGTTTTATTAAAAGCTTTAAAAAGTGGAAGCTATTTCAAATATTGCTGAGTTTACCTGATTTTGCATTAATTTTTGAGACTGAAGAATTGTGAAATCAGTATAATTAGTATGGACTGATTATATACTGTATTCATAAAGACCAGGGCACATGTATTCAATGAAATGCACCTTCTGAATGCTTGCAGATAAACAAGGTTAAAGGAGTGATGTGCTTCTTCATCTGCTTCCCAGGTGCTGCTGAAGAGTGACCGCATAGAGGCACTGCTGCATCACCTGGTTCCCCATGGACAGCTGCTCTTCATTAACCACCGCTTTGCGCAGAGCCTCGACAAGGAACTGACGGCCTGCATGGCTAAATAAAGGATATTACCATGGTGACAAATAAGAAAGCAGAGGATTAATCAGTGTTTTTTTTCTTCAAAAGACATCTTGACTTACCCTTAATTTTTTTGTGATGAAGTTGCAAACTAAGGCATACAGAAAAACCATCGATGGATGGATGGATGGATGGATGGATGGGGTGGAGTGTGACTCAGTGGGTTAAGTCTCTGTGCCTGTGCTTGGAAGATCACCACTTCAGTAATCACATGTCAGTGGGCCCTTGAGCAAGACCCGTAACCCTCATTTCCCTGAGCGCCACAAGGGGGCTGCCCCTTTGTTGTGACCCCCAAGTTTGCAGTCCCCTATATGGAGAGCAGGATGGGGCAAAGCAAAAAGAGAATGTACAGGAATGTATGTGCATTTGAGGCTATACAGGAGCAATATACCTTCATGGATAAATTAAATTATATGTAGTGTTTACAGTCCAAAAGCACAGTGAGTTATGTACAGTATGAGATAAGTATGACCTAATTTTAAATGATGCAGTAAATAGTGATTGCTGCAATATGTATTATGAATGAAAGTTACATTTATATGGCGCTTTACGGAACCAATGGGAAGCCACTTCAACCACCAGCACTGTGTAGCCCCCACCTGGATGATGCAACAGCAGCCATTCTGTGCCAGTATGCTCACCACACAGTAGTTAAGATGGTGAAGGGGCAGGAGAGAAATTCACCAGTTAGATATACAGTAGGGGATGATTAGGAGGCCAGATTTGATAGGGGCACAATGGGCAATTTTAGCCTGGACATCGGGGTACCACCCCAATTCTTTCAAAATATGCCTAAGGATTTTTTTTATGACCTCAGTTTTACATCTCATCTGAAGGACAGCACCATTTTTTACAGCACAGTGGCCCCATCACTGCACTGAGGCATTGGGATCCACACAGACCACAGGATGGGCTCCCGCTGTTAGTCACACCAACACATCTTCCAGCAGCAGCCCAGCTTTCCTAGTTGGTTACCCATCCAAGTACAAGTAGTGCCTACCGGAGGCCAGGGGGTTGCAGAGCTGTTGACTGGTGTATGTGGGTTTGGTGAAGATGATGGTTGCTCTGCTTGGATGCCTGCTGCTGTACATGCTTTTCATTGTACTGCATCTGCATATCAACAAATTGTTTATTACTATGGATGTTGCTGAATCCTGCTTTCCTCAAGATTAAATGTATTGTGTTGAAATTCATTGATAAAACAGCGCTCCAGAATGTGACCAGTTTAGGCACATTTGCACCCAAAAATCTGTATGTGCAACTACATACAGTATTTGTGTGCAGTTAAATACATTTCACTGATTGTACTGATTCGCTGGTCAAAATGAGTCCAATCACATGGAGGAGCTGCTGATTCTTGCTTCAGTTTACTCAGGAAGCTGCATATCACTGAACAGCATGAAAAACACGGTTGTGAGTACTAGCCAATAGCTGACACGCTAAAGGTCTTAAAGGACCTCCCACTGATCTCAGCTCAGTGACTACAATGATGCCACGCTGAGTTAAACCATTGCGACCACGTCTCAGACCCCCACCTACAAGTGTTGCAGTTCAGAATGATTTGCTAAACTAATAAACCTGTTGACTGACGTTCACTAGGTCTTTTCAGCGGGTGTTTCGTTGGTGAATCACATGTATCGATCGCTTAGTCTTAATGAGATGCCAAACAGTAACCCTAACCAATATTCAGAGATGTCAGAGAGATGCACAGGAATGGTGACAGTAGTAATTCCACTGAAATCAGCTGTTGTCTGTAGGAACAGTAAAGAAATTAAAACACTCCCCACGTGAACAAATTGATCAACAAATTGAGCAGAACTGTAATCAAACCATGTTCTTTCATAAACATAGTGAGAAGAAAGTGCTCTTCACTCTTCATGTGTGCACATAAATATTTACATTTACAGCCGGAGTGACTTACAAAAGTGCTTTAAGACTCCATGATGAATTTTTCTGATACTGCCTCAATAAAACCCAGGCTATGAATACCATCTATCTAATCCTCTGTTGAGAAACTACAGGGCTTTTTAAATTATTATTTTATTTTTTTTAAAGAAAAGAGTTCAGAGTATAATACCAGAAGTGCTAATCCAGATATTTCTGAAAGAGGTAAGTTTTAAGTCATGATTTGAAGACATTTAACGACTGAGCTGTTCAGACATCTAGGGGAAGTTTGTTCAACCAACTAGGTGCCAGAACAAAGAAGAGCCTAGATGCATGTCTGTCTTGTGCCTTGAGAGGTGGTGGGACCAAATATTTGAACATTTCAATGGTGGCTGTAGTATTTTGTAGTTTTCTTTCAGATATTTTATTTTGTTATACTCTTTTGCTGTTTAAAGCAAAAGAGCACTCTATTAATGGTGCTTTGCACATGCTTATATCGACTGGTTTAGTCTTGTTTTAATACATTCTATTAATGGTGCTTTGCACATGCTTATATCGACTAGTTTAGTCTGTTGTTTTAATGCTCCTAGTGGTGCTTTGCATTCTCAACATGTTATGTAACGTTACTGTGGCATTTTTCATTTGTAATATGTTTACATGACTTACAGATGTTTACATGAAAAAAAGTTTGCCTGAAGAAATTAACTTGTCACTTTGTATATATTGTGTTGGATTTATTTGATAATGTGGCTGTATTATGTGTTTATACATTCAAATGTGATTCATATTGTGAGGATCCGGCTGTTTTATGTACATTCCAGGCCACCCCCCATAATATTTTATTTATATTTTCAATTACTTATGTGTGGCCACACTTCTAAATGAAGGAAAGCTACTTACAGTACTGTACCACTGTAACCTGCAGTTCACATACAGTACTTTACTCCCGCCACCAGGTGGCAATCGGTGACCAGTGCTAGGATGTCACACAGCATTTGGCTCAGACCGAACGCAGCCAAAGTAGCGTTCGCACGCGGGTATCCACAATGTTAACCTGTTAATTATTTGTGTGTGATTGCAGATTTTGCAATAAAAGAAAAAGGACAAACTTCACACTGAGTATTCATTTATTCAAGTGTGCTACAATATATTGTTCATTTATTGTGTTTTAGCATTGTTTTAAGAGTGAAGAGAATGTGTATTCACCAGCAAAAGCATTTCAACTTGACAGTGTACAATTATTACAATGGGAAACTACATAATCTTTTTTGACCAACAAGGTAAAAAGCAACTACAAATTGTACCAAATGAGACAGCTGTACAAAACCATTTGCATCTGTACTAAATCATTTAGAAATTTGTGTAAAGCAATGAGAAATCATGTTCAGTTGGCTATATGTGGTATTAAATCACTTGTTTTGCAAATGTTGTCATTTGAGAAATGCTTCAAAGCAATTAAGAATTTTTTTTATTGTTTTGGTAAGTTACAGGCTTTTGCAGCTAATCCATAGTGTTTTGCTACATGCATGAACTGTTTTGAGAAATGCTCTTATCGTACAGTTAAGGATATAGAGATGTTTTGTCTTTTTTCTAAGCTACACTATTTCAGATATTTCTATTGTAAAGATTCTTTTTGGAGAGAATACTTGAGCTGGAGGCCAATGAGACGCCACGCAATTTTGTGTATGTGGATGAGGTAGGATGAGGTAAGGAGACATGGCAGGAACCTCATAGGTCAGAGGATCATAGTGGATGTGCCAGGCCAGCTTGGGGGCAACAATGTGTGCTGCTATTGCTGAACATGATCTTTGGGGGTTTCCAGAACTTATGGCCTTTTAAGAGGGAGTCAGTGAAAAACATCAAATACGTATGACATATTTACACAGATATTGTATTGTTAGCATTAAAATGTTCCCCGGTATAAGGTAAGGCAAGTTTATTTTCATAGTATATTTTCAAACACAGAGGTCATTCAAAGTCATTGCATAAAAAAAACCACGTAACAAGAATAATTGAAATTATCCATCCATCCAGCCATGCAGACATACAAACCAAAACTGGAAGGCAAAAAAATATTTTTAATTGTTGCTTCTATACAAACCTTACAATAATAAAATAAGTGTTGACTGAAAAGCAAATTTTATTATGAATTTGCAATTGCAATTGCAATTTATATATTTTGTGTGTTTATACACCATACATTCCATGCAATCCAGAAATTCAGGGGATAGGAATGATAGATTGTCAGTAGAGCAGAAGTGCATAGTGAACTGTTATGTCAAAAAGATGCTTCGATTTTATAATATATGTGATTAGAATAGCTATATATATATCCTGTAAGTTGCTGCTCCATTCTTCTTACTGTCGTGACACATTCAGTACCGTTCGAATGCTGAAACACAAACGAGCAGTAAGGAGCCATTGTTAGGCAGGGTAACAAATTTCTTGATCTAATTTACAGATTATATCAAGGCTACACAATCTCAGTTCCTCTGAATTACATAGTGTATTTTATTCCTAATTGTATGAATGAAGAGTTCTATGGCAAGAAAATCTCTTCGTCTATGTTTAGCTGAAGTGTCACTAGTTGACAAATCAAACGAAGTTGTTAATGTTGTTTTAAAAAATGTTTGAAAGAGTTACGTCTTGTAAGACTGACTTTACATATACACGTGTTTACTCTATCTTGGATGCCCCAAGTGACACGCTAAATGAAGAGGGCTGTGACCATGTTTGAAAAGCGTACCATTTTCCATGTTTCATCAGCTCTACAGCATCATTGACGCGGTCAAGCGTCATGGTGTGTGTCACAAACTCATCCAGCTTCAGTTTCCTGGCCAGATACTCGTTGACTAGCTTGGGCACACCATCCTTACTCTTAAAGCCTGTCAAATGATAAGTACCTTTAAGTTAACAGCATAGATATACATCTCATAATAGACAATTGAACTATACTTCAGATTTTACTTTTAAAGTGTCTGTTAGTTTTTGCATGCATTTTTGTATAGATTTACCAACAAGGACTCATGCATTAGCATGAAAATGCTCCCACTGTCTTCCATCTCTGACAAAGCCAATGCTCTATTATGATATAATGCCTACTTCCACTGTTTAGACAAACTTACCTCCAAATAGAGTACCCTTCCAAGTGCGCCCAGCTATGAGTTGGATGGGCCTGGCTGAGAAGTCGTGCATATCAGTCCATCCTACCAAGACACTGACTCCCCAGCCTTTCACACAGGATTCCAGGGCACTTCTCTGGAACAAACACGACAATATAAGGGACGGTAATGACATCCCTAGCAGCAGTGAATCTAAACAAAAGTCAGTACCACTCAATATTCTCTGCAGCCATTGCACCCACCATGACTTCTACATTGCCAACACACTCTAAGGAGAAGTCCACACCCCCGTTGGTCATCTCGGCGAGAACTTGGCTGATGGGTTTGCTGTGCTCCTTCGGGTTCACAAAATCAGTGGCCCCGAACACCTTTGCCTTCTCAAATTTGTCTTTGTTGACGTCCACAGCAATGATCCGGGCTGCTCCAGCGGCTTTGCAGCCCATGACCGCAGCCAGTCCCACAGCTCCCAGTCCAAACACAGCACACGTGGAACCAGGCTCCACCTGCACGATTGACGGGAGTGCAGGTTTATCGTCAAACTGTCTACACTGGTAATGAATAACAAGGTCCTGTCTACACCACTCCATGTTTCCTTGCTGGTCTCTTCACTGCCCTGAATGCTGTTAGTGTTGCACTTTATCTTTTGAGTCAATAGTCCTTCTAGGTTCTATCTGTGTCTTAAAAGCATTAAGTGGTGTTTGTTCTAATGCAAGGCATTCACTCAAGGAATAAGCTGCACTGTTTCCTGTTTGCCACCTTGCCAGCTATATATTTGTGATGAGCTATTTGCCTTGGTTGTGCATCATTTCGGGCAGTAGTGTTTACTAAATAAATGTAAATGTAATTTTACAATGACTTTAAATGGTTTGAAGTGTTTATAAATGCAGGTAAGGTATTCTGAGAGTATCTAGCTTTGTAGCATAGTACATTGATTATATAGCAATCAAATACTTGATTTGCAATTAAATTGACACATCGACTCACCAACCTTAGCTGTGTTGACTGCAGCTCCGTACCCTGTGGGGATGCCACAGCCAAGCAGGCACACCTTGTCCAAGGGGGCAGAGTCATGGATCTTGGCCACAGCGATCTCATTCAGCACCGTGTACTCAGAAAAGGTGCTGGTGCCCATAAACTGCAGCACTTTCTTCCCTCGGCAAGTGAAGCGGGAATCAATATCTGACATGACATCATACCGCTCGTTTGACCTGTTGATAGACACACAGCTCCCTTTGAGCACCATAGCAGGAGATGTTGTTATAATTTAAACATTACATTTTTACATTTAGTTTCGACTCACCAGCTTCTTTCACACAGATTGGTCTTAGGGCTCTTGCAGAACTTACATTGCCCACACTGAGAAATGAAGAGTGGGATGACCTTATCCCCTGGAAAAGATTAAATATTTGATCAAATAAGGTTTATCCTACTTCTTCATTTACCAAATAATGGAAGATTCTATGGTTGAATTACAGCTATTCTCGACTGCTGTGACACATTTCATGAAACACACAACATTCACACGACTAGAAGAGCATTTCTCAAAACAGTTTAGGCATATAGCACAATACCATAGATTAGCTGCAAAAGGCTATAACTCACTCAAAACAGTTACCTCGAAACATTTACCTCAAAACAGCAATCTCAAAAGCAAAATAATTGTACCAATGAATTAGTCAATGTCGCCAAAACTGAAAAGTACAATCAGCATCGTGTTAACCATGAGAGTCAAAATGCTTAGATATATTGTAAAAATGTCAGTCTAAATATGCTCCTGAGCTCCACAATTCTGAATTTTTCTGTATCACTCACTGAACAAAGACACCAGTTTCAACTTTGATGAGCTCCACATTATGCTATGTGAAGATCATTATTGAAAGGAAACACTCGCACGCATTTTTTCAGATCTCAAGACACAGTACAATAGCAAACATAAAAGTCACAGCGCTGTACAAAAAAACAGAAAAATGGCAACAAAATTATGCACTGTAAAAACATATGCTGTATCACTCAAGCTTACGGAATATATTTTGAATCATTCAGAAAGTTTCGGAAACTGTTTTGCATGTGGTGGTACAGTTTTGTATAAAATTATTACAATGGGAAACTGCATTATCCAATAAGACTAAAGGAACTGAAAATCATACCAAATGATAAAAATTGTACAAAACCATTTGCATATATGTACTAAAACATTTGGAAATTTGTGTCAAACAATGAGAAAATGACATTCTTCTGTGCAAAAGTGACATTATGGTGCGGAGATTATGTTTGTTTTGCAAATGTTAGTTTAGTCCAAAGCAATTGAGAAAACCTGTAACAGCAGTGATGATGAACTAATTGCTGCCAACCTGGTTTGAATTTAGTGACTCCGGGCCCGACACTCTCCACAATCCCGGCACCTTCGTGTCCCAACACTGCAGGGAATCCCTCTTTGTTATTCCCCTCAAACAGGTGGTACAAGTCGGTGTGGCACACTCCAGTTGCAACAATCTATGCTCAGGAAAGCAGAAGTACACAATTACATCATAATCATAATAAGTCATTATCACCACCATGTGGCATTCGGAGAGGTTAGGCTTCTATGCCCTGCAATATTGGCATAACATGTCCGAAATTTGACATACTCTGTTAGTCTAAGGAACACAGTGAATTTCATATGGTACCATTACAGGATAGGGCATCCAAGGAGAGGACTGCAATGCAGTACATGACCAAACAGTGAAAAACAACACAGTGCATTATAAGAATGAGTAAACAAGTAATAAGTATGTGCAATGAGACCACAGTATTAAATGGCAAATGGGCCGCAGTATAGAAAAATAAATAAGCATAAGGTGTAAATAAAGGTTAAGTGCAGATGGAAAATTCACGTAACCTTAACCAATCTGAAGGACTTCTCTTTTGGGCACAATAACAGGTCCCACACGGTCTCTCACCTTGATACGGATTTCATGGGCTTGCGGGGGGGCCACTTCGATCTCTTCAATGACCATTGGCTTGTTGGGCTCCCAGGCAATGGCAGCCTTGCACTTGATCACCTTAGAACAAATCATTGTTTCTCTTGAAGCTTTTCTATCAAGACACCTCACTACACTCTCTAAATATACCATACAGTGGGATATTTCAGTTTTATTTCATGTGTAAAACTGGAAGGAATAGCCATCAAACTCGGGTAATATTTTAAAGGTGATGCCTAATTTGACAGGCCTTTAGATAACCAGTGGGATCAGTCAATATTTTTTCATATTATTATTCATTATATAATATGTGGTATATATAGGTCTACATTATGATTTTTTTTCCCAGAAAGCCAGTATATTGAATGAAAGTAGTAATCTAGTGTCTGTTGATTGCCCATAATGTGGGTTTGACGAAGGTTTCCCCTACCCTGTATGTACTGGAATATACCATAGACTTACTGCAGCTCTGTACTGGATAAGCAGGATGGATGGATGGATGGATGGATGGGTGAATGAGAGATACTCTCTATATTTATTACATGCAGCTAATAGCAATGCAGCGTGTCATGGCTACTTTAATTTGCTAGCAGTAATTTAACGATTTAGTACTCTCTATATATGCATCTATACTATTTTTATAGTCATGTTACAGTTCTGTATTACGTGGGATCTATTCCACACATATATTAACATGCCCCAAATAGTACTGATCAGATAAGAGTTCACTTCTACCAAACTTCCATTAAAGCCTTTATATATTTTTGCAGATATGTTAGTAAAAGTTTTAACAAGTTAAACTTATCAGTTATTTCTTATATTATTAGCTAGAAATATCTGCGCTCCAAATAGTGTCCAAAAGTCTCTATGAGCCTGACCAGGATATGAAATTAGAAAACGGATGGTAGGAAAGATGGTTATTTTTTATTTCCATTTGCATTTTGAGACTTTCAAATGACATTTTTAAATTATTGTAAAACCTGGTTTACTCATGCAAAAGAAAAAGCAAAGAAATTGTTTTATTCAACACCTGTAGCATACATATATACCAATGGCATAAAAAAGTAAGACAAGAAGGAACTGAAGATAATGGATAAAATACTAGAACTAAAAAGAAAAAGAGAGTGCAGGATTGTACCCATTTTCCTCATTGAATCAAATTTATTTGGCATAATTTCACAGCACTAAACCAGGTAGACCATGTACTAGATATGCTGGGTAATTTTGACAGTAAGATCAGTTTTACAGCAGCAGAATATAATGAGCATTCTTAGTTGTAACACCTGAATTTAATGTTCATAACTTTTAAGATAAAATATAAGGTCGGTCGTAAATAATATGTTCGAATTCATACCTGTCCTGCAGTTGCCATGACTCTGTGAAGAGTATGTGCTACTTCTGAAAAGAAAAAAGGAACAGCAATAGTCTGTATCTGCCTTAAATACAGAAACATAGACCCACCAGCACACCAACTGTATTTGGATATGAGTGTTTTCCATTGGCTGTGCAGGCTGTTTCTCATTTTTGAGGAGCAGTTCATCTGCTTAACTCCGCCTCATTTTGCAAATTGGTTTGATTTCATCTCGCCAATTCAGCTTATCTGTTTTATCCTCACTTACAATGATTAATTTGCAATTTATTATAATACCCTGCAATCGTTGTAGCCATTTGTACACAATGACTGATTCACTAATATTCTGCATTACTCCTTGTTGGGTTAAAACAAAAACAAGCAGAATTTTTCATTGTTAAAAGATAATCTTCTTGGTCTCTGCTTCCCTCCTCACCACCAAACCCCAACCATAGTATAGAAATGTTATAACTGAATGTTCTCCTGTGGTTGAGAACGCGCCCCCAAACCACACATTTCTTGTACATCTGTATCTTGTTTGCATTCCAGTCTCTCTGCCAAGGAACCATTTGACCAAGGTTAAAGCCTTCTGCTGCACTAAATCCTGTACAGAAAGATAAGTTAGGAAAGAATTCCCATCTCCTGGTTTAAAAATGCATGGGAATACAAACATAACTCAAGATTTCAAGAGTGATGGGTACCAGATGTACAGGAACCTGCTCCTGCAGTTGCTCAATAGACAACTTACAAATCAGTAAATCTCACAGGAATTTATATAGGGAGTTCACAGAAATACATATATACATGCATATACAATGCTATGCAAAACTAATATTTTAAATGATCACCATGACTTTATGTCTGTTAGCTTTTTTCAAAAGCTCTCCTTTAGTCACCTCAGTATTTGCAAAAACCGTCCAATATACACGTTTTTGCTGAACTTGGCCACTAGCTCTCCGTGTTTGTCTAATCAATACCACATGAAGTTACTTAATTAAATGAGGTGATTGTGAAACTGAATAAATACATGGAATAGCTAGGGTGCCCCTGAGGAGAAGTTTGGCATGTAAAGCTGTGTTCTTCTAGCCATCCAACAAGAAATCAGTAAGTTACTGCAACGGAAGAAATCCTTCTTTCTTTTTATTGTATTGCTGTGCAGCAAAGTTTTCTTTGGTGACCTAAGACTTTTGCCCAGTACTGTAGTACAAATACCACGATCTGTGGAAATACTGTACCAAACTCCACATTAAAATAACATTTAAAGTTTACCCTAGTTATAGTTTGACTTCTGTTTTTGATTTGAATTAATTATTAACTATGCTGTCCATCTTTTAATCAAAGATTTTTTTTTACCACAGAAACTCAAAACACCACACAAGCTAGGGCAATTAAAGACAAATGCCTTTTGTATTTTTGCACTGAAAAATGGAAAACTACTCTACATTTAGCATTTTTCAAATAGAAGAATACGTCACAAAATCCATATCTCTGCAATGTACACATTTGGCAGAACAGACTACCATAATGCATATTATTTTTTTTTAATTGTGTTAAATTCAATGGTTGATAATAAGAAATGACGCTCTACTTCATCAGCTCCATGTACATTACAGTATGTAGTTACTATATTATTATTATTATTATTATTATTATTATTATTATCAGGGATTTACGTAACTGGTACGCAAGTATGCATTCACCTTTAAAAGCGATACCTGCGGGAATCGATTAATGTAACAGTGCAAATACGTATTTTATGTGCATTTGCGCCGATATGACAAGAAATTATCGTGCATTTAACCTTTGTATGCTAATTCGTACTTCATTTGCGGTATAGAGGTTAAAATCCATGGTAAGTTCTTGTCATATTGTTATTATGTAAAATGTTATTTTTCCGACTTACCTTCAAATTCAAATTATTGTCTTGGAGTAAGCATCTCGTTCTTAACCACGGCACTGCCTGTTTTATTGCAAACTCGGGGCATTTTTAATTTTCATAATCATGGCAGCTCAGTGGGTAACACCATTCCATCATGGATCCCGGGTTGTAGATTGAAGTCCCACCTCTGTTCTGTGACATTCGCCTATTGTCCCCTTGCCATGTAGATTTCTTTTCATAGTCCAAAGACATGCAGGCTGATAGGTATCTCTGAATTTCTAATTATGTGTGTGCGTCCTGAGATGGACTGGCATCCCCATGTAAGGTATAACCCAGCCTTGTGTCCTGTGCTGCCTTGGATGAGCTCCAAGCCCCCTAGAACCTCACCAAAGCTATTGGTTAGAATATGGATAGGCTTTGTAGAATCTTTGAAATGTTTCTTACAAATATTATTCTGCAAACATTTAGTCAAAGACATTGAATACATTACACGAGCTGGCTTAGGAAGGCCTTGCATGGTATTGCCCTGGAGGAACTGGAGAACGAGGTTGGGGAGAGGGAGGTCTGGGAATCCCAGTTCAGACTGCTGCCCCCATGATAAGCGGCAGCTGGATGGATGGTCACAGATAGCTTCTTCAGGCTGCCCATTTCCACTGCATAGACTGTGGAACAAATGTTTGGGACTTGTGCAATGGCTGAGCCACAGCCAAATACAAACATGACACTTATGCAAGAGTATATTTGCTACCCACAGAAAACTATTTACACAGTTGCTATGGAACAACTGTTGAGGGATGTGATATACTTTTACACCCAATCATCTTATTACACTAATTAATACACAATGGAAAGATGGGGAGTCTGGAAACGGAATAAGTAAATGTCCATCTCGTTATCTTTTCCTATTTATCACATGGTCAGGGTCCTTGGTGATTTTTCCCCAGGAGCTCCTGAACCCAGAATGCGGTATCTGGCTGTTTATAGACACAACCCCCAGAGGGGATGGTATTGCCAGAAGAACTGCTGAAGTTTATATTCAGTCTGTCAGGATAAGCATCAGCTTGGCTTTGGTTTCTTCAGCACCCTTCGCTTGCTGCAGCCCTCTGACTCCCAGTATAACCTGATCACTTGTCTTGACATGGGGTAACACTCCAAATCCAACCCAGGCCCTATCTTGCAGGGCCCTCTGCTTTAATTATTCTCTGACTCTCTTGACTGGGTCTCTTTCTTCATCTCCCAAGCAATGTTCCTTTATGAAGTTCCTTCTGAGAACATCCCTGGCCTGTCAATCTTCTGAGCATTTCTGTAGCTGTCCTATGGGAAGCCAAGGACATCCATGTAAATACGTTGTACTACTTGCGTTGTTAAACAGCCATAATGCTCATATGTTTCCTGATCTGAACAGCCAGATAACTGTATGTTAGTTTAATTAAGCAAAAAAAACAAAACAAAATATATTCAATTCTCTGCTTTGACACAAAAGAAGTAGATGTGCAAAGATTATGCCATGATAGCATTTATCACACCTTGGTAAAAACATTCCTATGTAGCTGCTGCACATATTCATGCAGTAACAAATGCGCTTATTTTCTCCTGACTTGTGAGCTGCATAATGTCACAGTAACAAGAAACGAACCTACTCTCTGTCGAAACACTTATTTTCAATTAAATGTCAATGCAGAAGAAAACTGCATTACAACAGAAGTGCAGACATTAAATGAAGTACTAGAAACTGTTTAGAAATGGCAAAACATTCCTCAGCACATCAAAAAGCAAACAGAAGACCTGATGTATGTGATGCAGTAAAAATCTTGGCCAGACTGTGTGTGCATTTTCAGTGGTAACTGATAATTTAACCAAAAAGATAAGGTTACTGTTTCCACACAAAGCAAAAAATATTAATCCGACATATGGAAAGCATGTTTGTAAAAAGACAAAATCTGTACAGTTACTGAAGGTAAGAAAAGTTAACATGTTAACACTTGCACTTTCAATTGATGTGTTATTTTTTGTCCTAATAGTAATGTTTTTGCACTACCCTGCATTTAACCATCATACAGCTAATTCATACCTCATTTGCGGTATAACAGTTTAAATCCACTGTAACTTCTTGTCATAGCACAGCAAATGCATTTGAAATAAGTACGCATGGGCACTGTTACTACAAGCAAATGCTGTACATATCGCTTTATATGGTGAATGCTTGCATACCAGTTATATGCATCTATGGTTATAACTTCATTTTATTCTTTGGAAACATTGCAACAGAAATGTGGTGATTACCAATGGTACTCATTTTGATTGTATTGTCAATGGCTTTTCAAACCATTACATTTTATACTTATTTTTAAAAAAAGAGAAAACACCAATCTGTAATACAATTGCTTAAAAAGACCAAAAATGACTTCACCTGTCTGTGGTCGAGTAGTACAGTTGAAACCAGTTTACATGCACTTCAGAAAAAGACACAAAAACTTTTTTTTTTCACTGGCCAAACATTAAATCAGAGTAAACTTTTTTCTGTTGTAGTTAATCAGTTAGGATCACCAATTTTTTTTTGTGTGTCAGAATATATATAGAGAGAATTTAATTTTTAATTTTTATTACTTTCATCAAAGGCAGAAGTTTACATACACTTCCTTACTTTTTGGTAGTATTGCTTTGAAACTGTTTCACTTGGGCCAAACGCTTTGGGTTTCCTCCCACAAGCTTCGCACAATAGTTTACATTGACTTTGTTGACAAGTCACTTTGTAACTTGGTGTGCTTGGGGTCATTGTCCATTTGTTAGACCCATTTGCGCCCAAGCTTTAACTTCCTGGCTGATGTCTTCAGATGTTGCTTCAATACATTCACATAAGTTTCTTTTCTCATGACACCATATATTTTGTGAAGTGATCCAGTCCATCCTGCAGCAAAGCAGCCCCACACCATGATGCTGTCACTCCCATACCTCATGGGTGGGATGGTGTTCTGAGGCTTGCAAGCCCCCCTTTTTCTTCCAAATATACTGTTGACCATTATGGCCAAACAGTTCAATTTTAGTTTCATCAGACCACAGGACGTCTCCAAAGATTAAGATATTTGTGCACAAACTGTAGTCTGGCTTTTTTATGGTGGTTTTGAAGCAATGGCTTTCTCCTCGCTGAGTGGCCTTTCAGCTCATGTCGGTACAGGACTCGCTTTACTGTGGATAATAATGCTATCTTACCAGTTTCAGGTAGCACTTTCACAAGGACTTTTGCTGTTGTCCTGGGGTTGATTTGCACATTTTGCCACA